TCTAAAAATCTGTCAAGTACCATGTCTTCTAGCTCCCACATAGCTTTTATATATTTATCAGTAACTCCCCATCTTACTGCCTCATCTCAAGTTCTGTCCAACATTCTCTTATGCTTGATTACTGCAATAGCCTCTTCATGACTCCATATCTCTCTCTTCAATCTATTTTATATTTTGCAGCCATAGTGACTTTTTACAAAGATAAATCTGATTATGTTATACAAAATATGATTTTATTTCCTATTTCCCTCTCCTTACTATGCTCAAAAGGGTCTCTCGATGGCTCTTGCTCTAACCTCTCCCTTGCTTGCCTGATCGCTCCCAATGGCCTCTGCCTTGTCCTGCACCTGTGACCCGGATTCCCTCCTCTGGCTGGCCACAGGCACCCAGGACCCAGGCTGGCTTTGCCCAGGCTGGCCCCAGCCACAGGGGACCATGAGTGGGTAGCTTCACCTGGGCCGCAGCCACAGACACCCAGGACCGTGGGGCGGGTGGCTTGTTCCTCTCCCGGGCCACAGGCTCAGACTCAGCCACTGGTTCCTGGGACCATGGGTTGGGCGGCTTGTCCCTCTCCTGGTCTGTAGCCTGGCTGGTTCCCATTCCTCTCTCCTCAGTGTTAAGTGTCTGAACGGTTACAGCATGATAGTGTGAGAATGTGATGACTATTTGCATATTAGCTCTTTATTATATAGGATAATATACTATTAGTATTATTTTAAAGAGTTAATTTTAATTATTTTACCCACATATTTACTCCTTCTTGTATGCACACCCACCTGCACATGCATTTTTCTTTCTGATAAAGGTTTCTCCTGATTGAGAAAGAAACATTAGTATTGTTTAGAGTGCTGATCTCTTGGCAATGATCAAGTAAGTATGTTATGCCATTGTTTTCTGCATTCACTTATTTTATGGAGGTCAGTCATTTACCTTATGTCATTTTTTTTTAAGATATGAATATTTTATCTCAGACTGCTCTTAAGATTTCTCAGCGTCTCTGCCTTTTCCCCCCCTAATTAAAGTACTTGAGGCCTGGTGCATGAAATTCATGCATGGGGAGGGGGTGTCCCTCCGCCTGACTGCACCCTCTCTAATCTGGGACCCCCTGTGGGATCAAGCCTAACCTGCAGTCAGCAATCTGGGACTGCTGGCCCCTAACTGCCTCTGTCTGACTGCCTGATTGCTCCCTAACCATTTCCCTGAAGGCCTGATCACCTCCAACTGCCCTCCCCTGCTGGCCTGATCACCCACAACTGCCCTCCTCTGCCAGCCTGATTGCCTCCTAACTCACTTCCCCTGCTGGCCTGATTGGCCCTAACCGCATCTGCCTCATCCCCGCCACTGTAGCTTTGTCTGGAAGGAAGTCAGACATTCGGAAGATGTCCGGTCAACCCAGTCTAATGAGCATATTACCCCGCCTGACTGCACCCTCTCTAATCTGGGACCCCCTGTGGGATCAAGCCTAACCTGCAGTCAGCAATCTGGGACTGCTGGCCCCTAACTGCCTCTGTCTGGCTGCCTGATTGTCTGTTATCCTGCTAGAAATTCTTTTCATTTTTTCTTTTTAATATATATTTTTATTGATTTCAGAAAGGAAAGGAGTGGCAGAGAGAGATAGAAACATCAATGATGGGAGAGAATCATTAATTGGCTGCCTCCTGAACGCCCCCTACTGAGGATGGATCTCGCAACCCAGGCATATGCCCTTGACTGGAACCAAACCCGCGATCCTTCAGTTCTCAGGCCAATGGTCTATCCACTGAGCCAAGCTGGCTAGGGATATAAATTCTTTTCTTGAAGTAGTGGGATAATATGTTTATATACTTTTGGGAAATATCAGCCATTATATAAACCGGTGACAGGGAGTGAACCCACAATTCAGAGTGGTGCCCTTGATTGGGAATAGAGCCCTAGACCCTTCAGTGTGTGGACTGACACTCTAACCAATAATCAGAACTATTACTTCTTTTTAATACTTTTTCTTCTCCTCTGCTGGGACTCCAATGATTTTAGGTTTAGTGATATGCTCCATATGTAACATCCTATGTTTAACATTTTTCTAATGTGTGCCAGTAATTAATATTTGTCACTAACTTTTCTTCACACAATGCAGCCTATAATTCAAATTGTTTACTGATTTCCTGAATTTAGATATTTTATTTTTAAGCTCTAGATTATGTATTTGATAACTACATAAATATTAATTTTCTGGTAAAAAGTCTACCTTCTTTCACATAGTTTGTTCATTTTTCTTTCAGTTTTTCTAAGAGAGTAATCATAGGGATTTTTTGTTCATTATCTTCTTTTACCCTCTTGGATGATCTTTTAGATGGCTTCTACCTCCTCTTTTATTATCTTTGTTGTTGGTTTCTTATTTTGGCCAAAAAATTTCTGGGTAGAATTACTTTTGACTTAAGGAATTTCCATATTTCCTCTAAAAGATATACTTAGTGACAATTTCAGTACAATTAGGAATTGATTTTGGTCATAAAATAGTGTAATTTTAGCAACACACATATACCTAAATATACTTTCTATTGAGAGCCCATGTACCTCTATTTTCTCAGCTTTGAAAAATAATGGTGACTACATATGGATACTCAAATCTTGAAAAACTCAATTCTCTAGCATCTATTCCAAGCTCCTTCAAAATCAGGCAAATGTTTTAAATGGAAAACAATACATATCTTTGAGGCAAGACCCTTTCCACTGGGTACAACAGATTCTAGATATTTCTGTCTTTAAAACTTTTCACCTTTCTTACCAGCTTCCCACAGAGGACTTAAACTCAACAAATGTGTATGTAAAACAAACTGAATTTGATGCCCTTATGTGTCTAACATCAATCTAGTACTCTTCTATAAACTAAAATGTTTACTGATTTCTTTTTCTTTAACAGAGACACACTGTATGGGCCAAACTTGATCCTTAATTTACTAGTATATTCAGCATTAACACATCCTAGGGAACAGTCATTTTTGTTCCAAGAAGAAAAAGTACTAATAATTCAGCTTGTTTTCCCTTCTCTGTAATTTTTAAGTCTTCAAATCTTCAGGTCTCCCACAACTCTCTGATACTTTTAAAGTATAAATTTTAAAAATTTGACATTGTATAGTTGTTTTCAGAAAGGTCACTTATCTACCAAGGCCTACCTAGAATTGGAAGTGTTTTCTTTTTTATCTAATTTTAAAACCAAAGAAACTCAGAAATTGGGAGATAACTGCTATTGTCATCTTGTCTTTTATTATTTTCTTGGAAACTTGCTGTAAATTCAAGGAACTTTCCTAAGATGGTAAAGTGGTAAGGAAAAACTCAAACAAAAACTTTTGATGCTTTCTCATTCTTGCTTTATTATTATTATTATTCTAAGATCAGTATTGTAACAATCACAATTCAGACAGAAAAGAGAAAACACATTAGTAATAGAAAACACATTTTAGGGGGACAGAATTAAATATAAGGAATTGGGAAAACAGGTATTGAAGAACAAAACAAGTTAAGGAAGACAATGTGCTATTAGCTGGTTAGTAACCATGAAATACTAAGTGTAAGAGAGTAATTTCATTTATGGAATTGAGGAGAAATAAAGGAAAAAGGTTAGGGTTATATGAATCTACTAGAGGCTCAGTGCACAGATTCATGCACCGGTGGGGTCCCTTGGTCTGGCCTGTGCCCTCTCGCAATCCAGGACCCGTCAGGGGATGTCAGAGAGCTGGTTGTGGCCTGATCCCCACAGACCAGCCCGAAGGAACCCACCAGTGCATGAATCTGTGCATTGGGCCTCTAGTTTGCATATAAGATCTTTGGTTAATCTCTTCCCACCCTCCCCCCTACCCCCTTCCTTCTGAGATTCATCAGTCTGTTCCATGTTTCCATGCCTGTGGTTTCTGCTTCTTCATTGAGCGTCTGCCTCCTGGTGGTCAGTGCATGTCATAGTTACGAGTTGGTCGGCCACTTGGCCAGTTGCTTAGGCTTATATATATACAGACTAGAGACCTGATGCACAAAATTCATGCAAGGATAGGCCCTCGCAGCCCTGGCTGCCTGGCAGCCCCAGCTGCCTCATAGACCCTCCCCGCACCTGCACCCACCTTGGCCTGGCACTGCCCACTTTACCACCACACACCCCTGGCTCCCCGGTTCTGCGGAGCTCCCTGATCAATCACCCTGAGGAGGGTGGCCTGGGCCTCCATCTTTGGGGTGATCATGGAGCCCCCTGATTGATAGCTCCACTGGCCAGTGGCCTGGGCCTCCCTCTGCAGGGCGATCATGGGGTGATGGTGGGCCCCCCCACCAATCGCACTGCACCCACCTTGGCTGGCCTGGCACCAGTGCATGATATAGCGTGGTCATCCAGATGGTCAGTCACTCTGCTGTTTGGCATTTGGTCGATTTGCATATTACACTTTTAATATTATAGATAGGACTATAGGGCTGGCCTGTAGATCTGAGACTCAAAACTCTGGCAATAGGTATTGCTAAGCTGATGCAGAAGATTTGGGATATTGCTAGAGAGCTCAAAGAGGACTCAGAACTCTGAAAGTAACATTAAACAGCTATGCTGATATCTCTCAGGCTGACAATGGGTTGGTATGGAGTGAATTTTTAAAAAAAGGGATATTGAACCTAAGTATAACTACAAGTGTAAAATCTGTTATTCGGGTAACATTAACATACAGGAAGCAAACAAGATCTCCCAGATTTCCCAACGCCCATTCATTCTTCTTCCTATTGCAGGGGACAAAATGGGAAGGGGCTTTGGAGCTGAGAAGCAGTAACTGAGAAACTGGTACACCATTCATGTGCCATGCCATTTCCAGAAACTATCAAGAAACAAATTGTAGGTAAAAAAAATCTTCTAATTGTTTAAAATAAAAAAGAGTCATTAGAAACATTCTAGGAATTACCATTTTTAATGAATACCTGTTTGGGTACATTTTTTTGGGTACTGATTGCTTTTGTTTCCCATGTTGGCTCTGGGAAAATAACATTTAGGTTGACTATGGTTGTGGACCTGGTCTTGAGGGTGTCCGTTGTGGAGGTGGAATATTCTGTGAGGGTGTCTGTTGTGAAGGTGGAATATTTGGCTTTGCTTGTGGCTTCATTTGAGGTTGAGGATGAACAATTTGCTCTTTTTTCTTACGTTTTCTCTTCATACAAAGACAAAAAAGACAACATAATAAAACTAACAACCAAAAAAGTGAAAACATTAAGACATAAATCTTCTGTATCTTCTTTCTCCTAGGGGGTGGACCACTGTCAATACTACCTCCATGGCCTTGTTTTAGGCAGTTGGGAGGGTCCCATAGATAGTTGCAATGGCAGTGATGTTTATTGTTGCAGATTCCTCTTCGATTACAGAATGTAGGTGAACAATTACTGTCCAAGTAAGATATATGGACACACTTCCTATGGATGCAGAGGTGTTCTTCACCACACTCTGTGCCATCTTCCACTGCACCTATATCGGGTGTGGTCATCCCAATGTGGGAGTCAGTACCCCAGCAGTTGACACCATCGTAATAGGTCCAATGCACAGTAGAATGATCGGTTAGAAGGGGAATTTCAGTTATGTTCTCACACTGAATCCTCCCACACAAGACATCCGACATATTACATTTTATATATGAAAAGTTTTGGGTACCACAGTGACCAAACCGGTCACCTAGAGTGTTTATTTTTTTGTAGCAACTGTAACTTGCATTCTTTGCCTCTTGGCCAAAAATCTGCTTACACTGTAAATTGCGATCATTACATCTCTTTTCGTAGCAGTAAGCACTTTCATTACAGGGAATTCCATCCTCCACATATACATCATCTGGGCACATATGGGATGTTCCATTGCACCATTCTGGAAGATCACATTCATTGATTTCCTTCCTACACACATCCCCTGATGGTAAGAACTGGCAGTCCTTGCAACAAAGCCCATAAGCACAATTAGACCCCGAACTGAGAGTGCAGTTTGACAGACAGCAGGCATCTTTTGAGCATTGCTGCAAAGGTCCACAGTCACACTCCTCTTCATCTTCAACAACACCATTCCCACAGCGTTTTCGGTTAAATATGTCACTTGTGTATATGGTGTAGAGCAAGCATTTTGTCTGACGTAAGGAATAATCCCATAAAAAAGCATAACTACAATTGCTAAATTTAGTTATTGGTGGGTTATCATTATGCATTATACATTTATATTTTCCACAAGTACACAAAATACGATCATGAAACATACCCAAATTATGACCAATATGATGAGCCATTGCAATTCCCCTAAGGCCCACAGGCTTTCTTGTAAAAGTAATAATTGCACAACTATGGCTTGTTCTACAGAGTCCTGCAACATAGCCTAAACCACTCATTCCTCTTAATGTCTTATGTATTAGAAGATGTGCAGTATCATGTGGCAGGCGGGAATAAAGGTTTGCAGCTTTCCAACGACAAAATATTCTCAGAGATCTCTTTACATCATCTACTTCAATGGGATTTTCTTTAGTCCACACCTCCATGCCAAACAATAAAACCTTAAGACCTATTTCCTCATAAATAGAATCTGCTATATTCACCATAACATATAGGTCTTCCTGCACTATTGAGACATTTTTGTTACTTTGAAGATAGAGAGTATTGTCAACTACCACTACTATTTCAATAAAGTAACTGTGGGGCCACCAGCCCTCATATGAACTTTGCTTCAGAGTAGAATTACCAATCTCTTGAAACTCAAATTGCTGTACAATTTCCTCTTGCATAAAGTCAGATTTCATGGTTTGGTATTCAGTGTCCTCTCTGTCCATTTTATATATCAGATGTTCAAATTTGGAAGAAAAAATCATGGGCTTAATTTCATAAGCAATGTCATTTATCTGTAACAAGCCTCGAAAGCCACCAAAACAGGTACTGAGGGCAACCAGGGATTCTGGGTCCCCCTCCACATAACCATGATAATAGCAGTCATTCTGAACAAAAGGCTGGTCCTCAAGGAGAGCACCTTGATCACTGTAGGTGAACACTGGAAAGTGTCTGGACAGCAAATGCTTCTTGACCTTCATGTAGATAATGTGTCTTTCACCCCCAAAATGCATACCATAACAGAGCCAGCCTGGAAACTTCATGCTAAGGCCAGTGCTTGTTATTCTCAAGGGAATCACCACTTCTGGAGGACTATGATGTTGAGGGTGCTCAGCCCAAGTGTGCCCAGAAAAGGACAGAAACACCCCAAGCCAGTGTAGTAGGAGCATGATCCTCATGTACAACAGGGTTTCAATTGTAGTAATTATGAAGCTACCATGATGGAAACAGAGACCAAGGCGGGCAGGGCTGAGTCATGGATGGGCTCCATCCTTATTCTCAGCTGGTCAATGTGCAGGGCTAATTAGGAAGGATTAGTCTTCTGGCAAACTTGAATCATTAGAAGAACATCAGGACTATAAGTAAAACAAAAAGCAACATGTGAATGGGTGGTTATAACACGGCTTGGTGAAGAGAAAGGAAAAGGCATGCGATAAAAGAGATTAATGTTTTGATCAAGGAATGACTCAAGAAACTGCCTAGAATGTGCTCTTAAATATTGACAGGGCAGAGGGGTATTGAAAGTGTATAGAAGAATAAAAACTGGCCAGGGATTTATAGTTATTAAACCTGAATTATGGGTAAATAAGGATTCATTATATAATTCTCTAAGGATATGTATATGTGAATGTTTTTGCAATAGTTAGAACAAGAGTCTTATGGGTAAGGTAATCATATATCTCATATTGCTGAAACCCAATCTCTTTTATGGTACTTATACCTCCTAGAGCAAAATGTTTACTTTTCTTTTTCTACATTACTTTCTCACTAGACTTGTCAGACTGGAAGTACACAAGAACATTATTTGCATCCTTCACAAGTGTTAATATCTCTTATAATAAGTAGCTTAATTATTTATATAGTAAATAATGGTAAATATATCTATACATAGTAAATAATGAATCTTTATTGTTCCATGGAATATTACTATAAAAGTGGTAATATTTGTTACATTTTTAATGTAGGAGATTATTCAACACCTGTGGCTAATTTAGTTTCTGAAACAAGGTGATATCGATTCAGTTTTTTCTGCATATACGCTCTAAATACAACTAATTACCTTGGAAATACATGAATAATTAAATGGAAATAAAAACTCTAAAAACTAAATAGAACAAAGATAGACTGGCGGCTTACCAAGAAACAAAGAGACAGAACCCAAATAAACAAAATCAGAAATTAAAGAGGTGAAGTAACAACTGATCCACAGAATTAAAAAAGGATTATAAAAAAAATATTATGACCAACTCTATTCCAATAAACTGGACAACCTAGACAAAATGGATATATTCCTAGAAAAATACAATCTTCCAAAACTCAATCAGGAAGAATCCAAAAATATGAATAAGTCTAAAACTACGGATTAAATTGAAGCAGTAGTCAAAAAAATTCCAGCTAACAAAAGCCCTGGTCTGGATGTCTCCATAGCGGAGTTTTACCAAATATTCAAAGAAATAACACTGATCATACACAAACTTTTCCAAAAGATTAAAGAGGAAGGAACACTTCCAAGCTCTATGAAGCCAGCATTACCCTAATCCCAAAATCAGATAAAGACACTACAAAGAAAGAGACTTAGAGGCCAACAGCCCTGATGAACATAGATGCTAAAATCCTCAACAAAATATTAGCATATCACATCTAGCAATACATTAAAAAGATCATAACCATGACCAAATGGGATTTATTCTGGAGATACAAGGCAGATACAATATCCACAAATCAATAAATGTAATACGTCACATAAACAAATTGTAAGACAAAAATCACATGATTATATCAATTGATTCAGAAAAAGCATTTGACAAAATCCAACACCCTTCCTGATAAAAACTCTCAGCAAAGTGGGAGTAGAGGGATCATACCTCAACATAATAAAAGCCTTATATGACAAACCTACAGCCAATATCATAATCAATAAACAAATACTAAAACCATTTCCCCTAAGAATAAGAAAAAGACAGGGATGTCCATTTTCACCACTCCTGTTTGTCATAGTATTGGAAGTGCTAGCCATAGCAATCAGACAAGAAGAAGAAATATAAGGTATCCAAATTGGAAAATAAAAAGTAAAACTGTCATTATTCACAAATGACATGATATTGCACATAGGAAAATCCAAAGTCATATTTCACAGAACAAACTCTCCAAAAATTTATATGGAACACAAAAAGACTCCAAATAGCTTCAGCAATCCTGACAAAGAAGAACAAAGTTGGAAGGATCACAATACCAGATATCAAATTATATTACAATGCCAGTGTTCTCAAAGCTGCCTGGTACTGGCACAAGAACAGACATATAGACCAATGGAACAGAATAGAGAACCCAGAAATAAACCCAAGCCATTATGCTCAATTAATATTTGACAAAGGAGGCATGAACATACAATGGAGTAAAACAGTCTCTTCAATAAATGGTATTGGGAAAATTGGACAGATACATGCAGAAAGAAAGAAAGAAAGAGAGAGAAAGAAAGAAAGAAACTAGACCACCAACTTACACCACACACAAAAATAGACTCAAAATAGATAAAAGACTTAAATGTAAGATGGAAAAACCATAAAAATCTTAGAAGAATCCATAAGCAGCAAAATATCAGACATATCTTTTAGCAATATGTGTATCAATACAGCTCCTAGGACAATGGAAACTAAGGAGAAAATAAATGGAACTATATCAAAATAAAAAGCTTCTTCACAGCAAAAGAAACCATCAACTAAATAACAAGAGAGCCCACTGCATAGGAAATCATATTTATCATGTTCTCTCCAATAAGGGTTTAATCTCCAAAATATATAGGGAACTCATACAACTTAACAAAAGAAAGATAAATGATCTAATCAAAAAAATGGGCAAAAACATAAATAGACACTTTTCAAAAGTGGACATACAGAAGGCCAAGAGACATATGAAAAAAATGCTCAAAGTCACTAATAATCCTAGAGATGCAAATCAAAATGACAATGAGGTACCATCTCACACCTGTCAGAATGGCTATCATCCACATATTAACAAATGACAAGTGCTGGAAAGGATGTGGAGAAAAAGGAACCCTCGTGCACTGCTGCTGGTGGGAATGCAGACTGGTGAAGCCACTGTGGAAGACAGTGTGGAATTTCCTCAAAAAACTAAAAATGGAACTCCCATTTGACCCTGTTATCCCACTTCTAGGAATATATCCCAAGAAACCAGAAACACCAATAAGAAAGAATATATGAACCCCTATGTTAATAGCACAATTTATAATAGCTAAGATTTGGAAATAGCCTAAGTGCCTATCAGCAGACAAGTAGATTAAAAAACTGTGGCACATTTATACAATGGAATACTATGCTGCTCTAAAAAAGAAAGAACTTTTACCATTTGCAACAGCCTGTATGGACCTGGAGAGCGTTATGCTAAGAAAAATAAACTAGTTGGGGAAAGATAAGTATCTCATGATCTCGCTCATTATGATATATAATGAACAACAAAACTGATGAGCAAAAATAGATCTAGAGACATAGGAAGAGATGGAAGGCAGGGGAGGGTGGCATGGGGGGGGGCTAGGTAAGAGATTAACCAAAAGTCTTGTGTGCATGCCTATAAATATAACCAATGGACACAAAAATGGGGGCTTGTGCTGGGAGGCAGGACCAGGCTGGGAGAGGACAATGGGGATTAAAGGAGACATATGGAATACTTTGAACAATAAATATATTTTTAAAAAGGACAGACTGGCTGGAAACCTCTCGATTTGAGGAATGGCGATAGGGTGACTTCCCTGGGTTTTCTATTAATTTCTCATGTAAATCCCAAACTGGGTGCTGGAAGTCTTTGACACAGAACCTTCAGCTGGTATGGACAAGAATAGTTTCCTCTCTCTGGACAAAATAAAATGAAAAAGACAGAACAAGAAACAGTAAGGTGCTCCAGCACCTGCTCTTGATTCATTCAGAATGGTAACTTCAAAGACTTATAGGCCAACCGAAAATACACACCACCTTTGTTCACTGGTGGGTTGTTCAATCCACCTACATTGGCAATATAACAATCCTGGCAGACCAGCCTCACCCTCATTCACTATCCAGGTAACTAGCTGACTGATCTGTCTGAAGATGCAGCAGTGAATTTTCAACAATCTAACCCAACCTCATCTAGACAACCAGGGAATTTGGAGCTTAATTAGAGATAGCAGTACCACTCAAAAAATCTTATATGTCCTATTCTGCTACCAAACAGCATAAGGAGATCCAAGCCTGCTGACTTCAACTCCTCCCATTTTGAGATCTGAACATGGCCTAATAATACCAGGTAGTTCAGGAAGGATATCAGACTAGATCAAGCAAAAGGAAGTATCAGTGGATTTAAAGATGGGTCATTGCTAATTATTCAGTCCAAGGAAAATTAAAATGAATGAAAAATAATGAAGAAAGCAAGATGTTCACAGAACACCCCCAAGAAGACCAATGTAAACATGGTGAAAGTCCCAGGAAAAGAGAGGATCAGAAAGCTTATTCAAAGTAATTATATGTATACACATGTACAGTGTATTTCCCCAAAATGTATATATACACTTAACAACTGATAGCTCAATTGATGTTTCTTTCTTTTCAGATTTAACCTACTGGAATCAATAATTATTCAATGTGTGTATACATTTTTTTGGATACCAGATATATCTTATTTATCCATTTTATTCCATACCTTTGTTATTTTAAAAAATGCTGCAATGAACATAGGGGTGCATATTCCTTTTACATGTGGAGAAAAAGGAACCCTCATTCACTGCTGGTGAAAATGTAAACTGGAATAACCACTGTGGAAAACAGTATGGAGGTTCCTCAAAAAGAAAATAAAAATAGAATTACCACATGATCTAGCAATACCTCTTCTGGGTATCCATCTGAAAAATTTGAAAACATTTAAAGATGCATGTCCCCCATTGTCATTGAAGCATTATTCATGGTGGCCAAGACATGGAAACAACCAGTGTCCTTCAATAGATTATTGGCTAAAGAAGATGTGGTACAAGATGGAATACTACTCAGCATAAGAAAAGATGACATACTGCCTTTTGCAACAACATGGATGGATCTTGACACTAACATGCTACTCATTTCTTATTTCTTATTGTTTATAGTAAATATTCTAGCAGATGTTTGTGATACCTAATTGTGGTTTTGATTTGCAAAAT